CCTCTTGTCAGCGTCGAGGCGGAGCATCCTCTTCAGGAGATCTATAAACTCTCGTCTGTCAGCTTTCTCAGCCAGCATGTCTGTCCCTTCCAAATGCGATGAAAGGTTGACCTAGGGAGGACAAAAAAATTGTTATAGCTCAATGCTCAGTTCTCTATGTAAATGGTAGTATATGACATACGATTTCCATGACAAGATTCCACCCCCCCTACAACAAAAAAAAAGCACCTGCATCATGTCATCCAAACAGTTGAAGATGTATTTTCGAGCTTCCTTGGATTTGATGCCCATCTCCATTTCGTGTTCTGATGGTGTCTGCAAAAAAGATGTGATCATGTTATTACTCTACATCTTTCACAACTCACATAACCGTCTGAATGAGCGATGCAGGTTTATTGACCTTCAGTCTCCAAAGTGGGTAACTCGAGTCCGGTCCTCGGTTGAAAAAGCGGCTGGTTTTCGTGCCTGCACTCAGTAGGTACTCAGCTGGCAGGCCTTGAGTCTGAGAAATGTAGCGGATCTGGGAAGGGGAAAAAAAAGGTATAATTTAATTGCGTGAGGGGAAAATACTGAAAATGTTTTCTTGTTTTCAGATTAGCTTGAACGGTGGCACGGACCTGATCGTACTCTGAGGCTCCGGGGTAGAGGGGCCAACCCAAAAAGAGCTCCGCAATCACACAGCCCAGAGACCACATGTCGATCGCCTCGCAGAACTGCAGACCTAAAATGATCTCAGGAGCCCTGAACAGCAAAGCAGAAGTTAGCGGGTCGAGCATCGTGACGTCACATACTGAAGGGTTTGTCGACATGCGATACCTGTAGTAGCGAGACTGCAAGTACGTTGAGCACACAGCCTTGGAAACGTGGCTTGCCGATCCAAAGTCAATGACCTTTACCCTGTACGGTTGCCTGAGGGGGTCCACTAGCATAATATTCTCAGGCTTGAGGTCCGCATGAATCAGTCCCAAGCTCTTGAGCTTCATCAGTGCCGTGGCCACCTAAACACATCAACATTAGTCTGGCTGTAAACTTCTTTTTTTCTTCCAAAGAGGGTTTGAGTGGGAGAACATCTGCATACCTGCTGTAGGATCGGTCTAATGTGCCGAAGCGGCAGCGGGCTGAACTTGCTGTGCTTGAGAAAGTCATACAGGTTCTGTTCGAGCATCTCAAACACCAAGCAAGTATGACCCTTGTGCTGGAAGCACTCATACGAGCGCACAAAGTTGTACTCGTCCGCATTCTCTGCGCTCAGCCTGTTCAGGATTCCCACCTGATTGGAGCAGGGGAAAAAAATTAACTCAAAGAAAATGAGTCTACATTTGTAGTGTATGCCATATGGAGGTGGAGATACAAAAATTGCAATGTATGCAGTACACGAGATGAGACGGTACCTCAATTTGTCCCTGGCGAGCATAGGAAGGATGGTTCTTTAGAATCTTAATTGCCACAATCTCATTTGTACCCCTCTTCCAGCACTTGGCCACCTGGCCAAAGGTGCCCCTCCCCAAGAACTCCAACACTTCGTAGCTGCAGGACACCGAGCAGAGGATCTCGTGCTGCACCAGCTGATAGTCGCCTTCCCCGTTGGAGCTACTGCTTTTGGTGGTTGGGGCCGAGTGAGGTATGGATTGGCCCGTGCCGCCTCCTCCGCCGCCGCCCGTACGAGTGGAGAACGTCGCTGCCGGGGCGGAGAGCTCCTCCAGAATTTGCACACTGCCACAGCCGCTCCCACTGCCCTCATTGGTCTCCTCCAACTTTCTCTTCTGCCCGTGCCGGTGTCCTCTCGTCTCCGAGGCCGTCTCCACATGAGCGTAGGAAGAGGATGTCGCGTGCTCGGCGACGCGCCGACTGGAACCCCGAGGAAGACTACCGGTGCTATCAGCCGCCCGAACCACCACTTGACCGCGAGAGCCCGGCGCTGTTGGGGGGAAGACCAGGGACGGTGCAAAGGGTGGGACGCCCATGGCCGGGGTAAAGGTATACGCAGACTGGCCGGCTATGGAGTTGTACGCTTCGGTAGTGGACACGTCCCAAACATTGTTCTCCACCTTCAGCTTCTTAACACGGCAAAAGGCACTGGAGGAGATGGATGGAGGCGAGAAAACTTGCAGCTGTGAGGTCATAGCTGAAAAAGAAACATCACGTTTTAAACACTGAAAGAAGCTAAGCCACATTACCGAATGTTTTCAAAACCAGGGGTCCTCGATTAAAATATATAAAATAGGCCATAAATACAGTGGTGCCTTGACTTAGCAGTTTAATTCAGACCAAAAACTCAGAACACTCATATCTCTAATCATCTTTCCCTGCTGAAATGAATGAAAATGCAATTAATAGTTTCCAGCCCCACAAAATCAAAATACATGTTTGTCATGTTTTTAAATAAGAAAAATAGTGTTCTGTCGTACTCTTCTTTATTTAAAAAAAACAACAACATAATGGAGTGTAAATAATTAAACAGTCTGTGCATCATGCTTTCATGCTTCCAAATGCCAGTAATTAAAAGAAAATGTTAAAAAATTTTAAAAAGCGTATCCAATGGAACCTTAAAACACTCCAGTCCCAATTTGAAATTAGCAATTTTAATATGATTATGCCACAAAGTTTGAGCAAGGAAATGATTATTTACTCAAGAGAAATTTTGCTTTGACATGCAAACAAATCATAGGGTGGCCAGCGTTTTGCAAAAGAGCCATCCCATTGAACTCTGACAATCAATCCAACACCATGACACATGACATTTCTTCTAGTTCCTCCTACAGATGCATTCTGACAAAACAAATGAATTAACATTTAAGCAACCAGAAGAACTGACAACACATCTGAAAAGATTAGCAAGAGAAATCCGAATACCAGTCATGACAAGAAGGCATTATGCATGACGTTGCCAAGTGACGTTTGAGACAAGGGCGTGACTCTGAAGATTCTACTTTCTGTAAAATGCTCATACGCAATAGGCTACAACCATGACAAAAAAATCTGCCGTTTCAAATAAACGACAACTGAAAAATGACGGATGACACACTAAGGCCGTTTTAAACGGCGTATACAAAGAAATGGTCCATGTGCGACTACTAAAGGGTGGCCTCGGAGACGATGGCAAATTTAGCGAATCATCCACATTGTGAACATCATCTTTTCCAGATTAAAACACATCGGCAGCATCAATGCTTCACACACACATGTGCCATCCGACATACATGAATTTCTGCGCACAGTCAATGTACAAATAGCACAGGATTAAACTGCCATAATGGAATCACGAAACCAGACTAGTGGCGCCGATTGAAAAAAAGATCCAAACGTTGGTACAGTGTGATTACGACAGATTTACAGCGTCAGTTGTTCGAGAATGCAGACTTTGCAGTTATATTGGGCCCTACATTTAAAGCACAGCCAGGATCACAAAACCTCCGACGATAATCACATCACCTACCGATGAAGAGATGGGTCTTTTCTTTCTTTTAACTCACAATTGTATCTCAGTCGAGCCTTGTGCGGATATTTGAGAGCAAATCAACAGGGCTTCGACATTGAACTCGTTAAGCTGCTAACCAACTAGCTTAACATAACTTTGGAGAGCGCAGACATTCGGTAAAGGGATTCAAATGAGCCTCCGAAACAAAATACAGATCTAAAATACATTACTGCAGCGATTCGGAATGTTGTTATGAAGGTGTACGTTACATACCGGGCGGTGTGTGCTCGCGCAGTCAGAAAAAGGCTTTGCCCAAGGCTTCAAGTCCCCACTGCGGCGATCCACTGGAGCGGCGATGCAAGTAGCAGTTGCTAACATGAGCGATCAGGCCTGCATTGTTTTCTCAGTCGAGGGAGCGCTTGACAGCCACACCGCACGCTACTGCTCCGAGTTTACGCGAGCAACAGCCGAACATCGCTTTATATTCTTCTATACAAATCTGCACTACTAAAATAAACACATCTGTCGTTTAAAATATTGGCTATAAGGTACTGTAAAACGCTCCGTCCGGAGGCAGAAAATCCCATTTCATACCGGAAAAAAACCCACGTCGTTATATCAGCTGCGAATTTATGTCATTTCCGGTTATTACCGTAATGTCCATAGTCGTAATAAAGATGGCAGATAAGTACTGACTATTAGGATGAAACAAACGTCTGAAAGATGATCTTGGATTGTAGCGTCATAATAAATATTGTTATAAATGACCACATTGCTCTAGAAACTGCCATATATCAGTTGGATAATCGTATTGAGTCGCAAGGACAAACGCATACATTTGATTTTACGGTAATACGAATTGACGTCATAGTCTTCCCAGTAATTTTCCTGTGGACCCTCCGCATCAGGGTCAGCTCAAAACCTTAACATTCAATATGAAACATTTCATTTGTCCAAAGAAGGGCGAAATAAGCAATTATTCATCACGTTATGTTGATGAAAAGGAATTTGAACAAAAAAATGCTTTAGCTCTTCTTTGAATGACCTGACCTATTTGTCCATTTGTTTTAAAAATGAAATGCCGCCCTCAAGAACAAAAGTTTGCCCACTTTATACTCATTAAATAATTGAATGAAATTGTTGACAAGCGTAATTCATTACAGTATAATTTTTTTCCTTATGTAAATGAAAATAGGAATATTTGAGGCCCTGTCATTTAAAAAAACTAAAGAAAAAACAAACAAACAGTTAACAAACAAATGCAGACAATCCATCAACTTCCACTTATTATGTTCAGGGTTGCACTTGATTCCAGGCGACAGGGAAACTACAATTGGTCTGGTTGCAACATTGCCAGTCACTCACACCAGCAATGAGTGGAACAGAACAACCATTACCTCTGCAGAATTTAGTTGGGATAACCACAACATTATTAAATCTATTTAATTGCTGCATGTTACTTTTTCATACATTTATTATAGTCCTCAAAGGACTTTATAAAAACTCAAATGGCCCTTGATTGGAAAAAGGTCCGTCCCCTCTGAATCAACATAAATCTGAACAAATACCAGACAAAGACACATTAAAGTGCAAATTTTCTTTTTTATTCTGATTTCATTTTACAGCAGAAATTATGTAAAGCATTCAGAGGACATTTTCCACATATAAGGGCAATATTCAAAACACTTTGCATGGCCTCAGCAACAAAATATTCTCTTAAAAACATCAACTGTTTTGTGATGCCTGTGCATGCAAACCAAAAAAGTAGAACGGAGGAAGTCAAAGTAGGCTACAAAAGAAGAGGGATGATCGTCATGGAGAACACAACAGCAGGCAAGGTTGGAATAGCGCAGGAGATGAGACAGAGGGAAGACAGGGGAGTGGACAGGTCGAAGCCTTAGCTTATCTATGAGGGTCTACCATTCTAGCATGCAATGTGGTGTTTGGGCACGCCGCCTCAGAGACAAGGCATAAAAGGTTATACAGCTTCCATTCATTTTCCAGGCGCACCATTGGGAAACAGAGGCCATCTCTGCTCATCTGCCAGTAATTGTCTCACTTGTATCTTCAATTGTTTTAATCTACTTTTTTTTTTTTTTTTGACGTGATCTCTTGTGTTCTTCTTCCAGTCAACATCCTCTCCCTAAACACAAACAGTGATCTCTGTGTTAGCCGTTCTGTGCGCGAGGATATTGCGGTGTGCGCGTGTGTGTCTGTCTGTGTGTGTGTGTGTGTGTGTTTGGAGTGTCTAAAAAGGAGCTGTGGTGGTCTGGGAGGAGTGTTTGTTTGAGAGGTTTACGCAGAAGACATTTTTGAGATGTTTCAAATATACATAACACTGGACTTACTAGTGTTTCAATCAAAGAAACACATGGCTGCAACTTACAGTATTTTGAATTCCTTATATTAATCTTGTGCGTTTATGACCATTAGAAATCACTCAATACTTGTTTTTCTTTTCTTGTAGAAAACAAAAAAAATGACACATGTTACAGTTTAGATCAAGCAAACAGATCACATTCCTCGCCTCACAAAATGAGACTTTATGCTTGGAAGAGGGCCACTTGAGAACCACAATAGAAAATGAGAGGATTCTGTTTCATAGATAAACAAACCCGGAGTATCCCTAACGTATGGAATACACATGCATACACAAAGCTGTGTGTTAGCAATGAGTTAGTGACACTCCACATATCATCTCCCTGTTCTTCAACCCTGAGTAAAATCTAAGGGAGAGATTGAACTGTTCCCAAAGACATAAGCGCAGAGAGAAAGACTGTGGCCTTCTTGTTTTTATGACTGTGTGCACTCGCGCGAGCGTGTGTGTGTGTGTGTGTGTGTGTGTGTGTGTGTGTGTGTGTGTGTGTGTTTGTGTGTGTGTGTGTCCGAGACATGGGGTGAAAGGAAAAAGAAAGAGAGAGAGCGAACGGGAAAGAGTGTACGGGACAGTCCTTTTGTTGTCTGGAAAACCGCTGCGTTCTTAATGTCTGCTGAATGCTACGAGAACATTTCCCATGCGAACCTGTGCAAGGAAAACAGGCTCTGACTCCAAGACGTTTGATTGACTCGTGACAATATCTTACACAAAGAAAACTGAAGAGATTTTATGGTTTCAAATACTGAACGATGCGCGCACACACAAGCGGGCCAAAAACGATCATGAGCATTCATTCCGACCTCTGACAAATAATCGCACGTAACTCGCAACGACTCCAATCAAGTCCAACACTGTTATTATTATTATTTTTTTTTTAAACACACCATTTAGGAGAAAGAAAAAGGTAACTGGCAGCCATTCGGAGAACATACAATAGCTATTTTTCCTGATATGAACTTGCACTTTGCTGTTATTGATCAGGCACTTCCTAAACAGAGCTTTCCAGGGTGCTTAAGCACGTGTTACGTAATAACGGCAGTGACAATGGCGAGAAGAAGGATTGAAATGATATGTAAGGAGTGGGAAGGAGACATTCTGCTCGACTGAATGGTGAGAACGCTTGAAACGTAAAGTAGCATGTTGCTGAAGCACAACCACATTTTAAAGAATGTAGCACCCTCTTCTTGCCTTTTTTTGTTTTTTTTTTTGTTTGGGTCAACGCGTTCACATTTCAATGATCGTTGTCAGCAACTTCATCACCGTTATTTCAACAACTGCATCTTCAATGTCATCCTCTAGCCGTACTACTACTGTTGAGCTATTACTATCTCGTCTACTGTTTATAGTCTGTGTGTTGCCTCTGTGCATCTTACTGATATCTTTTGGGTGTTGTATTCCCCCCCGCCCACCCAACAAAACGTATTAGGCAAAATAGCATTCATAATAATTGGCACTACTGGCAAAAAGTGTTTGATTTTTGCGAGCCAAGGAACAAAAGCACAACGTGTAAATGTTTTGTCTGAAAGGTCTTTGTTTCAGCTAACTTTGTTTTCCCACTTATTTAATTCTAACATTAGAGTTGTCATTTGCATGCTTGAACAAAATGTTCTTTTTCAGTAACACTTATACTGGATACTCTTAAAGTGAAGCCGTTAAAATCCTCTCACAGTCCATAGCCACTAACATGTTTCTTTTTGTTGTTTCTGCGTCTTAAATATCATGCACATTACTCAGTTTGTAATATCTACATTATGTACAAGCAATACAGCCGTCCTGTGTAGCCAGGTCTTTAATGTTAAGTTCTCATTATGGGAGTAAAATAATTTATAATCTTAAATACAGTCCTCTTATGAAAAAGTTTCAGGGTCCTCGTATCCCCTTACCTCGTCGGTTTATATACAGGAATATGCAATAGTCCAAAATATGGATTTGAGTGCCCGCATGGGCTAATATGGGGATCAATGCCCTGTATCGGGCAAGGTTCTAGACCCGTTGTCCTGTACAGAGCGAGCAGAGACCTCTCAGTGTCAGGAAGAAGTCAAGGCAATGTTACTGTATGTTACTCTTCCCTCAAAAACCACAGCTAGGATTTAGAGGTTCACGCAAAGAACAAACTAACAGAGACATTTAACCATCGCAACATGTCGTATTTTAGCACACAAGGGGGGAAACCAGTCTCGAGCTGAACCATTCTTAAATAAATAATTAGACCCTAAAGAAATAAACTTTGTTGTTGTTGTTGTTGTTGTTTTTAAAAAAAAGCACCCCAAAATGTCATTTGTCCTTACACAGTTCACATTACGCAGGGCAAGGATAAGTCAATGAGAACAGTGAGACACAACTCCACATAGAAATACAAAAGAAACAACACGAAAGCAGTTTGGCAAGCATGCAGGAGCCCGCGGCTCAAACACATGCATTGAATTGAACAAACACGGACACCACGTTGGGCGAGCAAAGTGCCGCCTCTGAGAACAAACTCCATACAAAGTCCATGTAACAAATTAAGACATCGTTAATTCAGACCTCCGCCCTCACGGAAACAACTGCTCCTCTTACATTCAAGTGGTTCCTCCCCTTTTGATCAGGTGACTGATTGATCGGCTCATAAGTATTTGTGAGTCGGACTGGTTGGTGATTTTGTGGTGACACCGCGTTAACAGGATGGTTTGCCTCGAGAGCTCTTCGGCATGATGGAGAGGAGGAATATGCAAAAAAAGAACCAAGAAATAACTTGCATGCAAATGCAACATAGACAAAAGTTTTTTTTGGTTTATGTTTTCTCATCCTTTCATGGATCAGTGTTTGGGTACAAAACGCAACGGGTTTTGCATGAGTTCGGCAAGCCGGAGTTTGCCTTTGGCGAGTGAGCGAACTGAAGCCTTTTCACCACATCCGGGCAGCGCCGCGCCGTCGCCGGCCGTCATCCGCTTCCTCCCGTTTGGAAACATACCCAATGAAGAGTGCAAAGAATGCCATGAGGTTAATGCGATGGCCTCCCAGTGGAACTGCGGAGGAGGATCAGTGCTGCGGACAGAGCCAGATCCCTGGGCTCGCCCTAGTAGTCTGTCTGTCTGTCTGTCTGTCTGTCTGAGCTGCCATGATGGACACCTATCCTGTCCTCCGTCTGTCAGGGAAGCTTCTTCCTCTCGAGAGAGGACAGGATAGAGGGCGAGCGAAAAATGGGGGAGGAGAGAATGGAAGGGGCAGGAGAGGGAGGCAGGGAGGAAAAAGAAAAAAAAAAGGGGAGAAGAGGATTGCTCACAGGGTTAGTGGGCTGTGGGTGGGGCCTGGCGGTGGGCTTTCAGGACCCCTGGCCTTTTTCTGCTCTCTGACCCTGGTGTGAAAACACATATCGGGAACACATTAGGGTGGTTTTTTTTTCCTTTTCTTCTTTGTGCGTGTAAATGTTTGCATGTCTGTTTTCATCTACAGCAGGGATGGGCAACTTAAATACTGGAGGGGGGCCACAAGAGTTCATCAGCGCTACGGGGGAGAGCGGCGGTCACATAGTTCCACACTCTTCCCAACCAAATGTATGACAAAAATGTTATTTTTTAAACACAGACAAAATACGTGCATGCAGGTAAAATATGTGCCATGAACATATTTCATTTTTGAGAATACATTTGTTAATGCATGTAGAAAAAAAATCGACAAAGAAATCTCCTCCCCGATTTTGAAGCAAACCTAAATAATCACTTATTGTGATTCCCCCCCCCCAAGTGCATTGAAAGTACGATTCAATAATTGTGTACATTTTTCCACAAAAATCAACCTCAAAATTTTAATATTGAGGTACTGTGTGTGTCCTGCAAAATCTGCAAAAAAAAAATCTATCTATCTATCTATCTATCTATCTATCTATCTATCTATCTATCTATCTATCTATCTATCGATCCACCATACTCACATTGCCATCTAGTAGTGATTAGTGATATTACACCATAAAACTACAGCCGACCTTTGCGGAGTGGCATGTTTTTTTAATTTCAAATTTTTTTCAAATTTTGAATTTTCCCAATTTTTCAAGGATCCTCCGCCACATTTCTCCCAACTTTTTTTTGTGGAAAATGTAAATGGAATGTCTAACAACGTTTTTTGAAGAATATTTTGGGTTTGTAAAAAAAAAAAAAAAACGGGAAAAATAAATATTTTTATTCTTTCTATAATTAATCAAGAGGCGACTCTGTGTGGTGGCATGCTTTTCACAGGTCAACAGTTGCCCATCCCTGATCGCCAGTAATTATCCACAGACTATTTTTTACGAAATCTCCTCCCCGAAATTCTATCCATCCCCCTCAAGGCACCAAAAAAAAAAAAAAAAAAAGGAGACAAGCAAGATACTTGAGTCCCCAACTGATGTCATGCCCCCAGGAAAACCATGTGCAAGAGTGCTCCTCTATCTATCTGTCAGTCATGCAGAAGTAGCAGCATCATTCCGCAGTCCTCGACGAGACAAGAAGAGCGAGGGAGGGAGGGAGAGAGAGAAGACCCTCTCCTCCCCCTACATGCAAAAAGGCACCCGCCACCAGGAGAGAGAGAGAGAGAGAGAGAGAGAGAGAGAGAGAGAGACTGTGGGGGGAGGAGACTCACCCGCTTCAGGGGCCTATGGTCCATCAAAGGGCTTCGCAGGAACAGTAAAACAACAGCAGCTGTTAGCACCAATGCCCGTGCGGCAGTGGGCTGTGAACGTGTGTGTGGGCATTGTGCATGGTGTGTGTTGGGTGTGCGTGCACGTGCGCGTTGAACTACATGGCTAACCTGTGGCGGCATCGGAGCAGGAACCTCAGGATCTTGCGTGCAGCCTGGTTCTGTTTTTTAGTCAGAAGGTTGCTGCGGGCAAGGGCAGAGGTGTGAGGTTTTTTTTGGGGGGGGGCGGGGTTACAATGACTGTGAGTGATTGTGTGTGTTTTCCCGGTTTTAGTACCTGAGGGAGTGTCTGTAGGAGCGGTAGTATTGCTGTATGAGGACTGCTGCTCTGCGACTCTGTTGGAACTTCCTCTGCTCATGGAAACTCCGGAAACGACTCTGGATCAGGATGGCTGCCAGGGTCATCCTCTTATAAAGTGCATACTGAAAGCAGCCATGTTGTAAAATTTTCATTCAACAGTATCTACTTAACTTTAATAATAAACAAAGCATGCATTGTCCTTGGTCGAACGTATTATTTATAATGTATGTAATTGTAATTATTTAGCAGAAAAATGACATTGCCAATTTTCTTTTCATTTTGATATCTACAATAAATTGACTGTACTTACTTCAGTAACTAAATGGATAAAAAGAATTGTTTTTTCTTCAAATGGCTAAGTTTAGCCACTTGAAGAAAAAAAAAATGCTTAGCCGCTAAACTAATGCAACACATATTACAGGACTCTCGATAATCGGAATGCTTGGTGGGCATTTCTTTCTTTGTGACGACAACAGAAAGATACAAGCGATGACAAAGAGGGAAAATATGGACATGCGGCATGTTAAAGCAGTCTGTGTCCTGGCTCCTCAGTTGACAAAAAAACAAATAAATAAACAAATAAACAAAAATAAGATCAGAACAGAAGAAAGTGTTTTAAATTGCGGCCTCTAAAAAGGGCAATGCCTACAGAGACCCCCCTGCGCACCCGCTTGGTGTCTGAGCAAATTTGCCATGCGGTGGCTCTTTTGGCGCATGCATCTCTGTCCGGGTTGCTCAGTACAATGCGGTTATGTCATAAATTGACAATAATAATTAAAGCAAAATGGAATGTAGACTGCAAAAAAGAGCTGGGCATACGCAAAGTGACTTGGATTCTATTTCCTCTGCCGGTACGGCACCACCTATCATTACACCAACAAACTTTTTAAACTGGCCCAAAATAGCTCATGTTAAATGTGACTCAAAACATTGCCTATTCGGCTTCTAACGAATGGCAACAGTTCTGCCCAATATTTATGTTGTGTTATAAAATCCCTTCCACCGACTAAAGCGGGGGTTCTCAAACTTTAGAGGGGGAAAAAAAAAAATCATCGTAATGTTATGAGGAGAAAAAAAAATAATGAGAAGTCACTTAAAAAAAGAGAACAAAGGACTATTTCATCAGGATAAAAAGCCCTGATATTTCGAGGATAAAATACTATTTTTTTTCAAGAGGCAGCTGTAACATTATGATATTACAGTCCAATTTAATAGGGGGAGAAAGTCTTATTTTAACATGTGATTTACTTGTCACATTATGCCTTTTATTATGGAAGAGATGTCCTTACTCTCATAAAAGAGGAATGTATTCGTGAAAAAAATATTTCTGTTCTTTTTGACGTTATTCCTAACACAGCATGGATTTTGATCTCACAAAAAAAAAAAGAAAATAAAAACATAAATACAAGACTTTATGTTTTCAGGATTTTATGTCTGTTTGGACCAACTACACCTTTTATGTAGAATTGGCCCAAAGCCCGGCTAGCAAGGAGTAAATGTTTTATTGGAGGGCAAGTGCCCTTATGTCGGTATGCACTTTCTTAAATGATGAAACATAATTTATTGAGCACCTTAATTAGCAATGTAGGACAGTTTATTGCTGTCCGAACATTGAATCATACCTGCTTGTATCTCTTATAGCAGCGCTGAATCACTGCTGCAATCTCTTTGCGTTGTTCCTGAATAGGACCCTGAAGGGGGTGATGGTAAGAGTTTGTATGAAAGCCGCTCATGCAAGCAAGCAAACATGTATCACGCAAGATAGATACATGACAGGAAGAGTATATATATCATATAAGAATTTTTCCACTATATTCAGTGTGATGTGAAATTGGAGCGAAGGTCATACAAGATCATGGGTACCTTGTGTTTTCGAAGGGAGTGCAGAGCATTCCTGATGGTCTCACACAGCTCTCTCTGCTCTGCTTCTGTCATGGCAAGAAAGGAGGAGTCCGTTTTCAATCGTTCCGCTTTCATCGCTGCAGAGAAGAAGGAGTTCCAGTCAGAGGGGCTTGGCAGGTTTTGCTTCGTTTAAAGGACACTGCTCACCCTCAGGCCCCGAGTGAGAGTTTGATTTCGGGCCAGGAGTCTGCGGCTTGGCATTAAGGAACCTGCGGAGCGGTAACGAGCAGAGCGTGCGTCGAAATCAAGCCTAGACAACAGTTCATCGGGTTGTCACGATTTAACTGACCTTTCCACCTCGGCAAGATAACCAGACAGCAGTCTGACGTCACCGCCGAGGCCCACCCTTCCGGAGTCTGTTTCGGTCTCCATATCCTCCTGTTTGAGTCGAGCAGTGGATGTCTCCATGATGTGATCAGCAAGCATTGAAATGTCCATCTGCGACACACGCACGCGCGCACACACAAACACACGTGTGCATGCAAACAGACTCACATGAAAATATAGTCTGCGGGTCAACACATTCTTACTCGGTCAAAAAAAATGTTTTCCGAGCACATCATTTGTGGCATCCTTGCGGACTGAGATGCTGATGTTGGGAGAAGAAGAATTCATAAAAAAGGGAATGCACTGTAATTTGTAGTGAACAGATACATTTTAGCTCGCCTGAAAATATATATTTTTTTAATGATGAGAACATGGATAATAAATTTGTGGCAACAACAACATATAAATGCAACAGTTTTTCCAGATTTATTTTGCCTATTTGTTGTCATTCCCCCCTCCAAAAAATCATGTTTTGTAACTTAAAAAACTCATTTGAGTAGTTGTAAGTCTTTAGAAATGTGTCAAGGTAGAGTGCTCTCCCTACCTGCAAGTCCTCTGTGTTATCCTGATAGGTCAGCAGCTCCGTCTCTCCACCCCTGTCAGACAGGACTCTCTGGCGCAGGTGAACGGCCAATCGCTCTTTCCCTAGAATCCGCCTGGCGAGACTACGCTGACCCAGAGTCTGCCTCAGACTCCACCTGGAGCCCCCTCCAGATGCCCCTATCCTGGCCTGCAGGTGGGAGAAGGAGGGGCTGGGGAGCTGAGGACAGTCAGGACCGAAGCTGGCAGGAGGTGCGCTGCGATTGCTGAGGTTGGGATGTTGGGTTTGTTGAGGACTTGGGAGAGGGGAAGAGTAAGTGTTAGGACTGAGGAGGTTTGGGAGGGAATTGAGGTTGCTGGAGGTTGAGTTAGCGAGCTGTTGCTGAGTGGGTTTGAGTCTTTTAGCTGGGGGCGGACCCCCTTGCTCTCCCTGGGTTGCCTGTGAAGTTCTGTGTCCTGCTTGGTTCCAGCTCTGGTTGCTGGGCTGGCTCTCAGTCCGGGCTCGCCTCAGTTCTGGCAGAAGTGGAATAAAAACTGAGTTTGAGCACAAATTCATGCATATTCCCATTCGACTGAGCAGTTATTTTTTTTTTTTTTTTTACTCCGGTCTTTCCATAACTTTGTGTGAACATTTCGGAAGAAAATTTACACTTCCAATGACCCAGCGCAGGGTCAAAAAGAGACTCCAATGCTGGGTTATATACAGTACCAGCAAGTTGGGTCAAGATTTTGAGTCAACAAGGGGTAAAAACTAGTCATACTAATGAGTTAACGAGATGGATGACCAAGTTATGGGTATAGCTGTGGTTAAAAGTAATATCATCTTAAAACCAGCATTATCTGCAAACAGCCAAAAGCCACATGTAAAAAAAGAACAATTTTCAACCCCAAAATGCTTCAAAAAACGCTGATGGACATTCATTATATTTTTTCCCGCAGGGTCAGAATGGGGTAAAGAAATTCCAGAAAAAAATATATTAAATACTATATATATATATATATATATATATATATATATATTTATATATATATGTGTTTATGACTCTGCGGGTGTCGATCAGGAAGTATGTGGGGGTTGACTGAACTGTTGTGAATTTTGCTTTTCATCTCCTTGCTAGAAAATAGCAAGTTGTGCAAAATAGTTGGACAAATGAATGCAAAAGTTTAGAGCAGGTCAAATTGAGTTCACCAGTAAAGTTTGTAATGCATTTTAGGTTCATCCTGAATTTGCACCCGGAAGGTCAAAATCCCATTCTTTTTGGAGTACGGTGTATATACCGTATTTGACCCCTATGAATTTTGTAGGTTTGGGAAGAGATTCAAGAAATCTGAATGGATATTTAATAAAAACTCAAACTCACATTCTGAAAGAAAATGTAACATTTCTGGAGCCAAAACATACTGTAGCGTTTACTCACGGTCTCTCCCACCTGAGTTTGAGTTTGAGGGGTGACTGTTGTTTATTCTGCTGATTTCAGAGCCTCCTCTCCACCTGTCCATCCACGTGTCAGCGGGCTGACTTGGAGCTTGAGGACTTTGTTGTAACTGTTCCAAGAGCTCAGCCAGTCGTGTGTGGCCCCGTGATCTGGCGATGTTGAGCGGCAAGCGTCCCAGAGAATCGGGAATAGCCAAAGCTCTTGGATCCCACTGGTAAAGCACCAGTGCTGCATCAGTATGACCCAGAGCACATGCCCACATCTGGAGAGACCAATGGGATGTCGTCACACACACACAAGGACATGGACAGAAGACTGCATAACAAAATAAGGACCACTCACCAGTGGTGTGCAGGAGAAGTGGTCGACATTAAGAGGATCCACCTCCAGCTCGAGGTCAATACTGTCGGCATGCTTAGTGCTGCAGAGCAAAAATGGGCATGTGAGACGCCGCGCCCCTCTAAATGGTCTGCTATGATTGTTTGTTACTCACCGCCAGCGGATGAGAGTCTGAATGAGCCCGGCGTAACCCTGAGCTGCAGCCAGGTGCAATAAGGTCATTCCTCTCGAGTTCTTGCTGTGGACGAGCTGAGTGGAGGAAGCCCAACACGGCTGGGACATCATCTTCTCACACACGACCACAACACGTCCCTCAAATGAACTGTGGTCAGGAGAGGTCTGGGGAAGAAATTGGTACAGTGATTAAGGCTTCATTGTATTTCCACCAAGGAAGTGTTTGCATAAAATGCTTCGTTACATTTCCACAATGCCCCAAAGAGGAAATGTTTGATTTTTGGTACAAAATGGGGGAAAAAAAATCAAGAGTAGAGCTGTGACATGAGTTTAATTCATTCTATGAGCATGCGTTTATCTCAAATCCTCTTTCCCCATTGAAATGAATGGATATGCCATTAATCTGTTCCAGGTACAAGTGTTTTCTCATGACAAAAATAACACTTGATGGTATTTATACAATACCTCCATTGTAAAAACATAGAATAATAACTTAAATAATATATTAAAAAAATCAAACAGTCATGATTAATTCATTGTCACTCGAGGATATACAATATATTCCCATGAATATTTTGAACATAGAATAATAACTTAAATAATATATTAAAAAATCAAACAGTCATGATTAATTCATTGTCGCTCGAGGATATACAATATATTCCCGTGAATATTTTTATCTTGCCTGTTGACCTTACATAAAGGATTCAAATCATATCATATATTAGGTAATCTTAATGATCAACTCCAAACCATGACCAAATGATCCGAATTGGGATTGTTAATCCTTGGTGGATTTCAGAGCTCCATGGAAGCGCGTTCTGATTTTAAATATCTGTTCAGATTTATTTATTATTTTGGGGGGTGCATTTATGTCAAAGAAATTCTTTACTAAAACAAATAGTATCTTTCTGCCTTACTTGAGACTGCTGTTCGGAGGCTCTCCCTCCCTCTACACCTCCACTCTTGGTTGCCATAGTTTCTGAGCTGGGGTTTTGATTGGTTATATCCGCCATCCTCTGTTCCATCTGCTCCAGACGCTCCAAGATGGACATCCTGAACTGGGTATCTACAGGAAATAAAACATAAATAGGTGATTTATTCCAAACAATATTTATCATATTTTTGAAGTTATACAGTCCTGAGGAGGGTTGCTTATGAGGGGCTTGATAAAGACGGAGGAATCCACACACCCAAGGACCGACCAGGGTCTGAATTAGCTCTTGAAAGTGAAGGTAATATTCAGTACATCGGTGCATGCATCCAGCAACAGAGCATGTTGTGAACATTTTTACATGGCTCCAAGTGTGACCCTTTAATGCTGTGCAGCTGCAGTTTGCTGCAGTGCACATCATGTCACTCAGGCTCTTTATTTTCCCTCCTCTCCTCTCTGCTGTCTGTAGCACAGAGACTGAGGGGGAAAAAAAGAGGGAGGAGCCATATGAGTGACACAAACATCAGACTCCAAACATTTTAGCCCACCAATCAGAGGGAGAGAATGTCAATCGGTCCGAATAAAAAAAAACAAACAAACACAATTGTATGACTAATACCACACTCATCACCTCAACATGTAAACAAAAAGCTTGAACCGCAGAGCAAAAAACAACAACCCCAAAAACGCATTCAAAAGAATTTTTTTTTTCAAAAATGGTCACACATTTTGTGCATTTCAAAACAATTACGCATAACTGTTTTGCTTCCCCCACTGTTTTGCGATAATGACCACATTTCCCAAGCCGCTTGCACTGCCTTCTATTTTTCACCATCAATGCATGTTCAAAGTTATCCTTTGGTGAGACTGTGATTTCAGAAGTTATTCACTTCTTTCTGCGGTAGTATTCCTTTGCCAGGAAAACTCATTATGAACAACATCATTAGAGCTAATACAACTGCTTATCGTCATACTTTTAATGAGATTGTTATAGTCCCACGACTCTGTTGCATCCATTTTCAAGTAAGCAATTTCCATCCATAAACATGACATAGATAATAGCAAAAGCAATAAAAAAAATGTCAATGCACACACACACACACTGATATGCAGGTCAACCGGAGAAAATGTGCACGAAATAAACATAAATCATAAACAGCATGTTTAATATCGGTTGCTATTGTGTGAGCAGCTCCAGGAGGCAAATAGCCTCCCTGCACTTGTTGTGGTGTTATTGTTCTTCAGCTCTGCCTCCAATAGAAGCAACCTCTGAGGGTTTTTTTTAAGCTCAAACATTCATACAGGCATACAAAATGACTATACCATTACATGAATTTAATCTCCACAATAGCCATATTCTCACATGAAATTACTTTAATGCAATCACGCAAGACAAAGCAGTTGGACAATGGCATCACCTGAAGAAACAAACACTTGCATCATGCACCACATGGACGCAAAACAGCAATTTCCACACATCAATTTTGAAATGAAATGAAATCAGATCATCTACGAACCCAAACAGAGAGTGTCTCTTTGTTCCAGTTTCTGCTCAACCGCGTTAGTTTGAAGTGTGCGACACACACGTCGATACTCCCAACAACAGAGCGAGAGAAGGGAGGGGATGAGAGAGTGTGTGTGTGAGAAAGAGAGAGAGAGAGAGAGAGAGAGAGAGAGAGAGAGAGAGAGAGAGAGAGAGAGAGAGAGAGAGCCCGCGCACGTTGTGTGTGAAGAGAGCAGAGGCGCTCTTCTCTTCAAATCAGCCCGCCAGACTTTGGAGCAGCAGGAGGTTTAGGTCGTCATCGTCGCATAGGAGGACCGCATTCCCAACTAAACTGGAGCAGACATGTGACGTACTTGTAATCCATTTGATGTTTCAACTACACAGTTTGCGGCGCGTGACCATGAAAATGCGCTCATGGCCAAGTGTGCCTCACTGAAAAGTCCCGACACGTGTTTATGAATACAAGCTTGAGTGTGCCGTTAGGGGGTGTCAATGACATGGCGATTGAGCCACTTTGACTTTGCCCTTCAGTCACGCATGCAGTACTCTGTGACCGTGCAGCCGCATTGCCGCAGTGCGCAACGCGCAGACTGGGGGCGCACGCACGTACACACACGCAGGCGCGCGAGCGCGCGCGAGGTAAAATCAGGGCATGCGTCGCTGAGGAGACACGTGTGTTACCAACACAGACTATATGGATTAAAAAAACCCACGCCGACTGCTCAATTACCCTCTCTCACCACTGCAATACTTTTTAATCAAATCTGGTGTAAGGAAAGATGAGGAAACACGAAAAGAATGTCTCACAAACATGCAGACAGATCTGCCTTATTTGCATGAGCTGGATTTCCCCAAAAACAGAAGAGCACGTTTTAAGTGGGGGGAGAATCCAAAGACACTCACACACACATACTGTGTACATTGAACTTCTTAGTCCTCAGAGGGCCATGCAAAATCCATCCATGCAATTTCCAGACCGCTTATTTATCCTGAGTGGGGTCACGGGTGTGCTGGTGCCCATGATGGCTGACTTTGTCTGAGAAGCGGGGTAGCCCCCCGGATTGGACCCCAAGCCAATTGCAGGTTATACACAAACATGTACTTTCATTCTCACATTCACACCTAAGGACAATTTTGTCTTTAATTAACCTGGCATTACATGTTTTTGGAAAATGCGAGGGAAGAAGACGGATTAAACACAGGAACTGTGAGACGGTCGAGTGAAACACTCGTCCCCATGCAAAAAGTATGTTATGTAAATTCATGCATTGGTTATTGGGAATGTGAGCGTAAATGGTTTGTCTTTCTGTGGTCTGCGATTTGATAACAACAAAGACAAGTCTTGTAATTGCACAGAAGAAATGAAAATGCATTTTTCCCAAGTGCAGTGGTTCTTAACCTGGGTTCGATCGAACCGCAGGGGTTCGGTGAGTCGGTCTCAGGGGTTCAACGGAGCCTCTGCCATGGAGGGTAAGACACACGCGACTCAACATGTTAATTAGTTATGACACGCCCGCTTGGCCATCACCGGCTGCAGATGATCACATGACATTGCTTGTCCAATCAGTGCGGTGGGAAATTTAGTTCGCTCAGTCGTCAACGTGTGACTGTCGTGATAGTACGTTGTACAATTAAAACAAAAAAAAAAGTATACTTATCTCATGAAACTTTATTTACTTTTTTCTGTTTTTAATAAATGTTTTTAAATTTCTCGAATATGTAAAAAAGAAAAAAATATATATATATATATATATATTTTTTTTTTTCAGTGAATGTGCATATTAACTGGTTGGGTTCGGTACCTCTAAAAAGGTTAAGAACCACTGCCCTAGAGGTTTATGCGTGTTTTATCACGTCTGACTCCCATTCAAATATTCATAATTATATACACATGGTACATATTCCACAATGTGCATCTCAAACTTTGAAACAAATTCAATGCCGAGCATTTTCAATAAGTCCAAGCAGTTGGTGGGAGCTTTCAAAGTGTACCGGTACACCTTCATGTTGCGACAATACACAGCTAAATGCTCTCACCGTCCAGTGACAGCCAGTCATGCTGAGAGGATGGGAGGGCAGGAAGGTCGCGCGCCTTGTATTCAAACACCACTGACGAAGAGATGACCTCGCCGCCCATTGCTACCTGCAGCATGACGAGTCCCGTGTCATGGGCTGGAAAGAACCACAAGGAAAAGAATTATTACAGTGGGAAGTGACCTCAGTGCAGGACAGCGTGTTCATCACAGTATGATCTACAGTCGCTTTTTGTGTACCTGCAGGAAATAGGATATAGTCTTCAGTGATCCTAACAAGTGACGCAGGATGTGACTCATGCCGTTGAATGCAGCACCCAAAGAAGCATTTACCCTGTGTGCGTGCCTTTTTTTTTTTTCGACAGTAATCCCTCACAGGCACAGCTGTACCTAATAAAGTGGCCTATATGTTTACTATTCTCCTGTCTAAAGAGGATTATCGTGAGGACATTCATCCATATAGGTGTCTAAAACTGTGGCTGGAGTGTACGTGCATGCCAAATGATGAAATGCATCACAAGGCACTGTGTAGAAACGTGATACCTGGACAGTAGCAGCGTAGCACGCCAGGCTGGATGAGGGCAGCAGGGACGCTGATGTGGTCAAAGAGACAGCTGTACTCACTGCTTGACTCTAACCACGGTCCCGTGATAAGCACCTTCACACCACCCTGCAGCATAAACACTTGTTAGTGGAATGTCACACATTGTGGTGAGTTCATTGCAGAGAAGTAGTGGAGTAAACAGCGGGTCTCAAAAACAAAGTGAACAAATGCAAGAGACGATGACATGCTACGTCTGTATGAAATGTTTTACGTTTAAATGCGATGCAATTAAGCATTCGACCAGTGGACAAAGCACAGTTTCAACTGCTACAGGCATACAGTGGTGCAAATAACCGAACTGGTTGAGTGATCTGGTTTATGAAACTGTATAAAGCAACAGCAATGGACTAGAAATGAAAAAATAAAAAGCGACAATATGTGTGTAGAAATTGAGATGCATACAGTACACAAATACAAACAGTTTATATATATATAGGACCAAAAGGAAAAGGACCAAAAGCATCGGCAATGTTATTCGCTGAGTGTACAGTTCAATGCAACACACGGATGAATTAATGAAGCCACCCAGAGGAATCCATGTAATATTGAAATTTCATTAACTCAGCAATCAGCTGAGAGCATGATTCCATTTTTTAACAGCAGTACAAGCCGTCTTCCATCATGTGTCAGTCTGATTTTACTCCAGGCAACACTGATGAATAAATAATGATACTAATGTTGTTACTAACCTCTGGATAAGACCACTCTGGGGAGTAGTCTGTCACACCAAACAGCCTCCCGGTCTCTTGGAGCATTCCCAGAGCTCCCTGCTCCACTTCGGAGCCCTGCAGGTGGCCTGCCCCCGTGCCCTGCTCCTCTCCCACCGCGCCCTCCTGAGGCATCAGGACCCCATTGACGGCAGCCCCTACCCCACCTGCAGACCCTTCAACTGAGATGAAATCATTGATGAGATCAGAGAACTGGCTTCCAAACGAAGCCTCAAACCCCTCCAGGCTGATGGCTGCTCCTGCTGCTGCCGCCGTGGCAGTTACGCCTCCACCTTGTGGAGGAAGAGAGGAATTGTACAGTGCCCTCTCAATGCTTGCCCCGGCGCCTATTGACTGAGGACTGGCCACCACGGAGCTGGCAGCCCCTGACAAGCTTACTCCATTACACAGAATTTCATTCTCCCCTCCTCCCGCCGCGCCGCAGCCCACTCCCGCTTCCTCCCCGACTCCATTGCCATCTGTAGGTTGAAGGTAGTGTTCAGTGTCCACACTGGCGTACGCCTCATGAGCAGCGCCAGACTTGAGCATTAACTCTGCGCCGTTCTCAAGAACTTTGCCACCGGCCTCTTGACGAACCCCACTGCTGGGCTGCTCAATATCAGTGTCCTGGCTCGTCAAGGGGAAAGAGGTCACGGATGCTCCTTTTCCACTCCTTGCACACAGGGCTTGGTCTTGACTGGTTTGGTGGAGGTGTGTATGGTGGTCTCCGTTGGGGATCGGGGCGTCTCCTGGCAGGCTGATGTAAGCCCTTGCTTCACCCGATTCCTGTGGTGCCTCGGCGCCGTTGCTCTGCTGCTGGGAGGGCTGGTTCGTGTGCGTGGAGGTCTGGAGGAAGAGGTTTGGCGAAGGGTGGTGCGCAGACTGGGCAAGGCATGGTGATGACATGACAGCACTGAAGTCCATCTGCTCCAGAGTGGTGCTTGGGCTTAGGCCCGCCCCCTCTCCTACATAACTACTCTGAGGGGCCAGTGGTTGCTCCATCGGTGTCGCTTCCTTCTTGATGTTGTTGACGAGGGATGGGCTGTACACAAAGCCGTTTGATGAACAGTGGATCCCTCCATCGTTACCGTTACACCCCTCAGTCTTCCCTCCACCTCCCCCGTAGGTCTGACCCTGCTTGGGGTTATTAAGGAAGCAGTCGGGGTCAAACGTCATGGCAGTCTCCGGAAGGCTGACCCCTCCGCCGGAGTCGAGCGAGCTGGAAAGGACCAACTCTCCTCCCTCCCCTAAGCCGACGCCACCAGGAAATGATGCAAACCTCTGGTTCTCGGGGGCAACGGCCAAGAGAATGCCAGTGGCGGCGCTCTCATGGGTGGATGGCAGCAGGTGGGGGTGGCCAGCTGAATAAACCGAATCCCCAGTCAGTGTGGTGACTTCGGACATGAACACAGCAGTGCTCTGCGACAGCCCGGCGCCGATGGCGAGCGCCGGGCTGTCAGCCATGTCACTGGTGATCGAGAGTGGGGAACTCTGGGTGGTGTCAGGGACTTCCACCTGGTTGGTGGAAGTAGAGGAGGACACTTCCATGCTGCTCTGCGGGAGAAGGGAGGGCTTTGGCATTCGGCCGTTTCTCCGGTCGCCCCCGCCTGCCCTGCTCCTGCGCCCCCCAGGACTGGGCTCTGTCTGGCCCTCTGACACATCGCTGTTCTGGACCTCCGTGCCGTCTGCTTCCTCAGATCTCTGGCCCGCTGTACCGCCGCCACCCGCTGCAGCGCCACCCCCTGCTGCTGCCCCTGACTCCTGCTTGGATGAGATGATGCGCTGCTTGACGCTGGAGCATTTCTGATGTAGGCTGCTTCCGGCACCTGACACACAAGGAATAAAAGCTTTGCATTAGGAACAAACATTCAGAAAGCTTTTGATTACTTCAACTCTGATGTTGAGGTCGAATTATGTCAAGTGTACGTTGGCGCCCTCCTGTGACTGGAATGCAAACTGAAGGTATTCATATACAGCTCACTGCCTGTGATCGGAATCTCTCCGTTACACTCATGCAAAACGCACGAGCTAATTTGTAAAACATTTAAATTCAAACAAGATACAAAAACAAATGCGTAATCCTAAATTTGGAATGATCACGAAGCAAATGGAGAGATAAATGTGATTCACTGAAGAGAGCGATAACTACTATTTAAGTCAACAAGGCTCTTTGTTCTGGGCAGCCGTCCTTGTTCGCCCTTCCAAAGCACATCAAAAGATGAGAGATTAGGTAATTTTCTGTGTGTGTATGTGTACCGAAGTTATCTTCTCTCTCTGATGCTGATTTATGAATAATACATGCTGGATATTTCGGGCACCTCCAGCTTGGGCCCCCCTAACCATCCACCCCTTTTCCTTTGGTTCTTTGGTGCAATGTGTACTTGCCAGTAGGTGGCAGCAAGGCACTGACTTTTGGAATGATCCCCTCAAAAAAAAAAAAAAAAAAAATCATTAAGAAAAAAAAAAACATACTAAAATTCCAAACCGGGTTTTTTTTAGGA